CCAGCAGCTGTGTGTTGGTGTAGGCGGTGCGCAGCCTGCGCGCCCCGCCGCCGCCCGCGTCGGGCAGTCCCGGGCCATCTATTGAAAAGCAGGCTGGGCGTCACAGCGGGTCCTGTCTTCATCCCAACTTCAGTTCAGCAGAGATCAAGACTACCCCATCCTCCAAAAACAATATCAGGAGCCTCCCTTTCCCACCCCCACCCCCAGCAAAACGGTTTGCTCTCACTACTCTTCGGTTCTTTCCGCTCCCTCCCTCGCTGGCAGACCTGGCCAGGGTCAGGGCAAAGCATTCAGAGCCGGCTGCGGGCCACAGAGAGGGCGGGGAGCTGTTCCTTTTCTCTCCCAGAATCTCAGATACCCTTTCCCAATGAACTTTCCAACTCAACCCCGGGAGAGCTTTCACAGATTGTTCTTCACCTCTTTTCCTTTCTAGCTCTCAAATTTGCCCTCCTCGGGTTGGGAGAGGGAGGAGGATCGCATCTTTTCCTGCCCCAGATTCATTCCCAACAACACTCATTCCTCTACACAGATTCCTCAGTCGAATCCTTTTCTTCTACCATGGGGCGGGGGGGGGGGGGGGGAACTCTTCACCAACCAGTTTCCAAATCTACTGTAGGAAAAAATAATCTGGCAGCGGCCAGGCCTGAGCCTCAGCGGGACATTCTGCTTCCCCATCCCGAGAATTGACTGAGAATTGACCGAGCAAGGGAACCCCAACAGGCTTGCTGCTTTTTTTTTTTTTTTTTTTTTTGGCCTCCCCCGCTGCTCTTTCTCCCTCTGTCTTCTAGCTACACCCTACCCCCACCCCCAACACGCTTACCGACCTGCAGGCGATCCGACCCCCGAGGCCGGGACGGAGGAGGCAGCCGGGGAAGGAGACGCGGCGGATTGGCTGGGTTTCTTGGCGGATTTCTTCTCTTTCATCCAGGGGAACTCGGGGGCTGGGGGGGCGGTGGGGAGCGGCGGCGGTGGCAGCAGAGCAGGCCCATCTTCGGCTTGCTTTTGGCTCCCGGGTCTCTGAAGGGTGGAGGCGCCGGGCTGGAGGCTGGGGAAGATTTGCTCGAAAGGAGGAGGAGGAGGAATTAATGTCGACTCCTTGATTGATGAAGTTTGAAATGTCTCCAAGACAGCGGGGAAGGAAGTCAGACACTCGGCGAGCGATGGCTGGCTGTTTATAAACCCAATCTCCCTCTCAAATTCAAAATTCATGGCTTTCAATGGTGGGGGAGGGGGCCTGCTGGGGGGGGCGTCAGGAGGGAGGATCGGAAGGGACCCCCCCTCCTGCCCCCCCCAGGTTTATGCGATGGAACGATTTTGGGAGGGGGAGATTTCGCTCTCTTTCTTTTTTTTTAAATTTGGGCCTTTATAATTGTATATTGCTGATAAATACAAGCGTATGGGGACTCTCTCTATTAAACCCAGGACTCCGACGAAATTGCAGGGAATTCGTGGTCACGGGACCGGCCTTGGCCAATCGCTCGGCTGGGCCTGGTGGAAAACAGAGCATTATTTGCTTTAATTGATTCAAAAACTCCAGAGGACCACGACCTGGACACCATAAGTCCCCCATTCCTAAACCGGTGTCTCCCCAATGACTCCCTTTCTCCAGAAAATCTAGAGGGACCTTTCCTCCTTCCACCCTTGTAAGGTTGCAGGAACAGATCAAATCAGAAGGAGAAATTTTCCTCCCTTCTAAAGATTTTAATGAAGTAAATTAATACTTTTTTTATTACATAGCAAGCACTATCTTACAGAGAGAGAGAGAGAGAGAGAGATGAGAGAGTATCTCTATGGGAGGAAGAAGGAATAGAAAGATGTTTCCTCCATTTAGGAAAGGACAGTGTTGAGGTGTGATTAAGAAACAGAAGAGATTTATAATCATCAGCACCACCACTCCCATCCCAACCCCTAATGCAACTGTTAAATCTTGGGAAATGGACCTCCACAGCATTTTTGCCCACTGACCTCCATAACTGTAGGGCTTGGGTTCCCTTCTCTGCCCAGTGTTTACAGCACAACTCTTTATGTCCATCTGCCTTCCTCTTGGGGATCTATACTTATCTATTAAGTCCTTCACTCCTGCAACAGGAGGGTTGAAGGTGCATATATGCCCACTTAACCCCAAGCCTTTTCTGTATCCATATCTAGGGGCATGAACAAGAACCAATCATATAACTCTCAAAGTTCAGGTCATTGCCTATGGGGGGGAAGGGTAGCAGTCCCTAGTGGAACAAAAAGACTTTCCTTTCCACTTTTGCCATTGTGCTAGCATAAGGAAAAAAAAAATCTAGGCAAGAAAGATGGAGTTCTTGAAGATGGAGGGAGTGGAAATATGACCACTGAGATGATTCTGGCCCCTGGAGTGGGACTTTATTTATTTATTTATTTATTTATTTATTTATTTAGAGGGGACCAAGATAGTCTGAACTTTAGAGAATGCTACAATTTACTAGAGGAAGGAGGTACAAGAGCCACAAGCAGTTGGTGGGAAACTAGGCCTCAAAGCAGAAAATGAAAAGTCGATCTGGGGGAAGATTTTTAAATGAGTGGGTCAGAGGGACCAAGAGGAGATGAGGCGATCAATCTTAGCCCCCTGACAGCTCCCTCTGATTGCATCAAAGAATTTGTCTCTTTGGGAAAGCAGAGGGAACAGCCGAAATTCCACATCCCTTAAAAAGGCCTGAGGGGAGGGGGTGGCAATAGAGAAAGGTGATTCTGGGAGAGCCAGGAAACAGATGGGAAATGGGGACAGAGGGAAGGCGCTGAGTTGGGTGGAAAGTTTGCCTGGAGAACTCCCACGACTCTGGCCTCCCCTCCCCCTACTGGTTCACTGCAACCCAGCCCTAAGGAGAAGGCTGGTTAGCAGAGAAATGGCAACTCAGCTGGGAGCTGGAGCTAGAAACTTTGTCAATGTAACAACCGCGTGGGAGGTGGTGAGTATTTAAAAAGAAGGGCCCAGAAGTCTGAGTAGAAGGGTGGGGGTGGAGAAGAGAAGGTTGGAAAGGGGGGAGCTGAAGGTGGGGGCTGCAGAGACAGACTGTAGAGCTCTGAGAACATGGAGAGCTGCTCTGAACTAGGCCAACTGGGCAGAGAGGGTGGTGTGCAATTCAGCACCAAAGAAAACCATTTTGCCATTTGGAGATGTGGATAAGGGTAGGCTGGGAAAAATCCAAACAGTAGCTGTGCAGGAAGGCCTGAGAAAGGATTCACTCTCTGGTCAGCCCCTTGGGCATCACTGCAGGTTTTCTAACAGCCCCTCTAGCTGGCTGCAGGACTCAGGGCTTCCCTAGGCAACCCAGGCCAAGACTGTCCCTGAGCAGGAAATACAACTCTCTAACCCTCGATGACAGATTTTATGGCCAGATTAGTGAACAACGGAAAACTTGGGTGTTAAAAGGGGCCAAGAGAGCCCTCCTTCTGGGAGACATCCCTCCCCCACTCCCCTGCATGCTGAATGGTAAAGCAAAGATATTTTACCCATGTCTTTGACTGTTTTAGCTGAGCCACCGGAATCTTGAAAACAGAAGGATAGGGGACGCTAAGCCAGGTCCTTCTTATTTACCATCCCAGCTTCAAACCAAAGCTCTGCTTTTTCATACTCTAGTTAAATTCTCTCTCGGCCTGCTTTTCTCTCTGGCTAGCAAAATAAGCAATCCACCCCACCCCCAGAGCCAAACATGGCGTTTCATCTAGTTACATCATTCAGAACATGTTATTCAGAGAAGAGGAAGACAGAGAGAAAGAAAGACCCTTGAGCGTTATTTGATCCCAATCAAACTTTGCACGCTCTTCTGCCTTTAAATTATAGCCTGACCCAATGCTAAATTGCTTGCTGCCTGGATGAGCCGTCCAGTTAAAATCCTACTTGGGGGGGGGGGGATGCGGAATTCAGGTTGCTTTTTTATTGTTATTTATTGTTGCATAAAGACTGTAATTACTAACCTTGGACTGCCAGGATGCAACATAAAAATGAAAATCAGCCCTGCTTTAAGGCTGAGGGCCTGGAATGATTCTCACCCCCACAACCACCACTACCACCAAATATATGCTCCTAATTAAGCAATGCGGGCGCATAGCTTACAATTAGAATTATGCAACTCTTCAGCAAGCAAGCATCGCTTCTCTTTCAACGAATTAGCTCCATATTTCAGCCACCCTGTCTCCTCGCTCTTATCGGCTCCAGCGACGCGGCGGTGACATTTCATCTTTGACAGACCCTCTCTATCCTCGCTCCAGTGTGATAAAACTTTTATGGAACCCCGACTAAGAAATGAAGTTTTCCCAAGGATCCTGGAAACAGCCGCACATTAGCCTGGGGACCATTTTATTTACGCTTGGATCCAACAGCTTCTTCCACCTTCTTTTCCTCTTTCCCTGGCAAGAGGATTTGTCCCCTCTCCCTCTGCCCCAAGTTTTATTTAGTGATTTAATTTCACTTTAGTTTTAAGGTTTGACCTGAGGAGTCTAGGCCTCAGGTTTTTTTTTTTTTTTTTTTTTTTAGATTAATCATTTTCCTTTGTTTTCATTTTAGACCCAATGGTTGTTGGGCTTCGGGTCACGTGATGACTTCTTTGTAGCTCCGGAAGACGACTGTGAAGTTTAGGTTCTGTGGAAGAAGCAGTAATCGGCCAGATTTTTTTTTCCTGGGGGTGGGGGGAGGGATTGAAGAGAGATTGCGGCCAAAGGGGGGAGCAGACAAAAGGTCAATGGATGAGAAAAACTGAGAGGCAAAGAGGTTAAACAAAAAGACCCACAGAGAGCACCCAAGAGCCCCCTTTCTTCCACAACTTGTTACTTAACCTTAGCTAAAGAAGTTGACAGAATGTGTTCCGGGTTCTTATGAGTGAGAAAAACTATATTTAAACCTGAAAAATTTCAAGGGGGAGATAGGATCCCGAGCAGTGGACTAGGAAAGGATCTTCAATGTCCTTCTTCCCATGGGGGAAATTTGGCAGTCAGAAGCCTTGCTCTGCTATCTAAATTGGACCACCAGGACAAGATAAAATTGATAACAGAAAGTTTATTCAAGAATTGTTTGACAGACAACTCTTTTAAGGAAAAAAAGTAACTACAGAAGAACAAAGAAAGTTCCAAGAGGGAATTAACTCTAACTCTACAAATTCAAGACTATACAGTGACGATTAGGAGCTGAGTTCATGCCTTTTAGAACTAATTACAATTGCTCATAAGTACGAGTTTAACATAAATCTACAGCTCTTTCCTAGAGTACGATAAAAACTAAAATAGCTGGTTTTACATGACAGAAAACACAATGTCCCTTATAACAAGTAAATACTAAAAAAGTACAATTTTTCCTTTTTCCTCATATAAATACATAAGGTAGGGGGGATAAATAATACAAAAAGAAAATATTTTAACAGGCTATAACCAATAAATATATATGAAAATGTTCACTAGAACACACACTTTTTTGAGCGATGCTGGACTTCTGCAGGCCTAGGCATCTCTCACAGTTGTTTTTATATCCATTAAAATGTAAACTCTAAGTGCAACAAAAGTGTCCTGTCAGGAGGTTGAGCAAAGCACACAGGCCAAGCTGCAGCCCCTGCCTGGGACAGACAGTTTGTTCAAATATACCCTGTTTTCACGTTAAGTAAGAGAGCAACAGAAGAAAAGTAAAGTGGAGAACCTTATGTGGCCGATTGTTTTCTGTGGAGAGAGGGGGATGGACCTGGAGCTGAGAGGAGAGGCTGTGGAACATGCAAATGTTCAGTCCTTGCCTGCCTTAGCCTCCAAACTTTTCCTAAAAAGAAAAAATATATATATTTATACTATAGGCAGCTCTGACTTTCAGGATCTCTCACCATCCCTGAGCCCTCTAAAAATTGTAACTGATGGAGAAGGGGTATAGATACGAAAGTCCTAGAGCAGAAAATCATGGGGCTAGAAACGGAGGGCATACCCCAAGAAACCTCAAATAGATGGAAGGAAATTTGAGGTTTCAGGGAAGTGGGAGGAGAACGTGCTTTCTGTCCTTGGGCTTAAATGTGTCTTATTATTTTCTTAAGGAGAAAGAGAGGGGGGAAATCAAGATCTGGGGGAATTATCCACAGAGGTGGAAGGTAAGTGGGTTGGTTGGTCATGGCCTAGCCATCTTGTCTGCTTGTTTTTGTTTTTTAACTTTTTAAAAAATGTGCTTCTCTGCCTTGTTTTCCTATCTCAACTTCTTATACCACACTCCCTCTCCAGCATGGAATTCCAACTTGGTAGTGCTGGAGCCTGGGGTTGAAGGGGTCATCTCCAATCTGCCGTGGATTCCTTTCCTTTCCGATGGGTTGGCAGGCAGATGGAACAAGGAATGAAGGACTTTAAAACAACCCCTCAAGCCAGGGAGCAGGGAAGGAGCTCCAAGTCCCTTGTCCTGGGAGCCTAGCAACTACTTCCCTAACCCCTCTTTCAGACCTCCAGGCCGCCCCTCTGAGCTCCACAGCTCCCCTCTTGCCCTTGACCTCGCCCCTCCGCCCTTCCTCTCCCATCACAGGTGTGTTAATTTGGGAGCTTCTTGGATTCTACCCTGAGGAGGAGGCGCGTGGTGAGAGGAGAGGTCTGTGTAGGTGGGATGGGGGTCGCATGGTCCGTGATGCTGGTTGGGGGCCATAGGGGGCGCCCCGTTATAGTCCAGGTTCCCAGAGGGATGGTGGGAAAGGTGGTTGAGGCCATAGAGGGAGGGGCCGGCAGGGGGCGGCAGTGGATCCGCGTAGCCGCCCCCGCCCACGTACACTGGGCTGCCCTGCATGGTGGGCGTCCCGTAGGCGCCCCCGTTGGCTTGGAGAACGTGGGACTCGTAATCGGGCGCCGGGGTCGGGGGATACTTCTGCGGGGCGCCGCAGCCCTTGAGAGGGGGCTGGTAGTTGGAGGGCAGCGTGTAGGCATTCTGGTGGGCTTTGCCGAAGGCGGGCGGGGACGGGCTCTCATAGCTGGGGGTCATGGAGTGTAAGGCGTTCATGAAGCCAGCGGTGGACTGCATGGGCTGCGGGGGGCTGCCGGCTGGAGACGGGCCCCCAGACGACGAGGCCAGGCCCTTGGCCTTTTGGTCCTTCTTGTACTTCATGCGCCGGTTCTGGAACCAGATCTTGATCTGTCGCTCGCTGAGGTTCAGCAGATTGGCCATCTCCACGCGGCGCGGCCGGCACAGGTAGCGGTTGAAGTGGAACTCCTTTTCCAGCTCCACCAGCTGCGCGCTGGTGTACGCGGTCCGCGCCCGCTTGGACGCCGCCGACCCCGGGGGGCTCTTGTCCCCTCCCCCGCCGCCGCCGCCGCCGCCCCCACTGCCTCCACTACTGCAGCCGCCGCCACCGCCGCCGCCACCACAGCCTTCTGCTGGATCCGAGGAGGAGGGGTGGGAAGGGGAGAAAATGAAATAAAAGATAATTACTGAACACGCCGAAATTGAATGCATCGTTTCTTAATAAATCTAGGCCTGGACTCAGAGCCCCCGCCGCCCTCCCCTTCGCGTCCCCGCCTCCTCCTGCCCCCCCCCACACCGCCCGTCGCATTAGCGGACACTCTATAATAGTGGCATTTATTAAGAGACCTGTTCTCCTCTCACTGCCCCAGCTTATGAAAATTTGATCATGTCACGCAGACAGAGCTGCATGGCCATTTATTTAGGACTGGATTTTTGTGTGCGGGCTTTCTCCCCCTTATTCCCAATTCCTGGTCTGGGGAACACATCCCCTCCCTCTGTCTTTTGGACAGGATGGGTGACTGGGGAGAACCTGTAGGGAAACTGGACGGGCACTCATGGGCAGACCCCCGAAGTATGGTGTGAAGAGACAGCGGTGCCTGGAGGCCGGGAATCTGGGCCGCCAGAGCGATTGTGATTAATACCCACAGTAATCATACTTAATAATAATCATTGACGACTCCTGGCAGTGCCTCTTGGCTTTGCGGCCTAGGGAAGAGTTCTGAGGCCAAGCGCCCCACCTCCCAGAGCTCTCAGAGCCCGGTGAAGGTTAGCTGAAGGGACAGGATGTTGGCAGGGTCAGGGGTCATCAGGTGGGGGGATACCAAAAATGCACGGCCTGCGACCTAATATTGTTCCCAGGCCGCCTCGTGGGCGCCTAGGGGCTGGGTGCTAGAATAACAGTGACATTCCTGGACCTGACAAAAGCTGATGACGAGGAAGGTAGAGAGCTGGTACCTGTGCCGGGGGAGCTGTTTTTCAGCTTGGACGTTTGCCTCGACTCTTTCATCCAGGGGAATATCTGTTTGGTGAGGGTGGAGTTGGAGCCGGGACCGCACTTGGGGGGGCCGCTTTTGCTGGGCCCGCCCCCATTATTGCTGTTGCTAGTGGTACTGGTAGGTGCGGCGCTGGGTGGGGGTGAGCCCGGAGGGGCGGGCAGGGGCTCAGGGGCCAGGCCGGGCCTCATGCAGCTGCCGTTGAGCTCCTTGCTCTTGGCATGTGGGGCGGCGTTGCCCAGGGACTGAAGAGAACACGCTGAGCGCTGGTAGTCACCCTCCAGGTGCGTGGCGGCCTGAAAGGGGGGTTGGGGGGGCCCGTCGTAGCCGAAGCCATTGCTGCCAGAGTACGAGGAGTAGCCTCCGAAGAGCGCAGCCGCGGCGTTGTCGTAGTAGGTGGCTTTCTGCATCGCTGGGCGAGGCCCGGGCAGTGGATGGCAACTTGCAAGGGCCTGATACCCTCACGACCGGACATTGGCACCCCCGGGGGTCTCGTGACGCGCCGGACCCCCCCTCCCCTTTCTGCCCCCCTCCTCCCGGGACTGTTGCAAGCGGCTGACCTGCGGGGGGAGAGAAGAGACACAAGGGGGAGAAGAGGACTGGGGCTCGAATCCATCTTAGGAACTGAAAAGGGAACTGACATCAATAGGGTTTTTTTTTCTTCTCCCCTTCTCAACATCTCCAAAGCAGATGCTGAGGCATGTCTCTGACCTGAAATAGGTTTTTCCGTATATCAGCACTTTAAATTTAAAAAATAAATTCCACTATTTTTCATTTCCACTTAAAAAATCAAGATTATACTCCTTTAGGGAGTGCCAAGAAGTAGAATCCTACTGCTACATGGGCTCTTGCTTCTCTCCTGCCTGTGCACTAGCCCCTGACCTCTCCTCCTCTCTCTCTCTCTCTCTCTCTCCCTTCCTCCCTCCCCCCCCCAAGCCTCCCCCAACTCTGAGATAGAGTGGCTCTAGAAATGGGGCATTAGCAGACTCCAAAAAGCTCATGAATGCCTTCCTTGGAGCTGAGAGGCCTCTCTGCCTTCTGCCTTACCTCCATCTATATCCTTTCACTTAGGCAAAGTCTAGTCCAGAGGAAACCAAGGGATCTCCGACAAAGACCAGAGTAAGAAGCAAGTTGAGCAGGGAACCCTCTGTGAGATACCATTTTTTTCCCACCCTGCCCTTCACAAAGAGGACAACAGCCTGACCTAGAAAATCCTTGAAGATTTTAATCCCAAGAGCCAGCATAACTGAGTTCTTGCCATCCATGATCCTGTTGCAGGTACCACCACCTCCAGTTTTTGTCATTGCTCAATCAGGCCTAGGTCCAGTGGCCAGCGGCCCCTGCGGAGCCTCCAAATGGAACAGGATTGTTTCAGTTTCCCAGACAGGGCCCTTTGGAGCTGTGACCATTTGGCCCAGGTCTCTCTCCCCACCCCTCTTTTTAAATCATCAGACAATTTTCCCCACCTTTTTCTTGAAAGTCTGTTTTCTTTGATTTCTCCAAAAGAAAATAAGGGGAAAAAAACTAAATTGTGCAACTGCCGGACTTTGCTACTTAGCTGGAAAACATGCTTTCTAAAAGAGAAAAATGTTTTGGAGAAAAAAAATACAAAGAGCAATTTGAACAATATTATTCTCTGGGTTGGAAACAGAGGGTACTCCTGTTACTGGGGTTCTTTGAAGCAAAAATAAAAATACAATCACTATTTAAATACAGCCTTTTAAAAATGTTCCAGGAAACTAAAGCCTAAAAGTGTGATAGGATTTTGTGTATTTGTTCTAAAGCTTCGGGCTTCTTTTTTTCCCCTTTCTGTCCAAATCCCTCACCACCACTTTTTATAAAACCTCCAGACTGATTCTCTCTTCTGTCACGTGTGTTTTGAAAACTTAAATCTCATTCAGCCTAGCTGATCAACTCCAAAGAAAACTAAAATTAGGAAAGTAAAATGAAAGGAGTGAAGGTGAAGGAAATCCCTCCCACACATAAATCCCATTCTTAACGGTACAGATTTATACTCAAAAGAAAGCCGGTGTAGTCGTGTTCCGATTGGTTTCTGGGAAGAATCTGTTTCTGGAAATGCACATGGGTCTGCAAAGCAGCAGGTCCTTCCAAGGAGAACTGGAGTTCAATTGACCAGGCTGACCCAATCCCTTTATTATTATTACCATTATCCTCTGATGATTTAACCAAAATTAGCTTCGGAGCAGCCCTGGCTGAAGGGGGAATTAATTAACAGGCGTCAGTTGAGTTTGTTATTAATAGAGAAGAGAATGAAATAAAAACGTTGGCGGGGGTTAGCTGGGTGGGCCCTGGCTTTATTTAGTCTAAATGATTGTTACAGCAATAATGATGATGATGATGATAATAATAATAATAAACAATAATTTGACTAGACGCCTGAGGCCGAAATTTCTGTTGCTCCCCCTGCAATAAACCCCAAACCATCGCAGGACGGAGGCCAGGCGAGTGTGGGAAGCGAAGGAGCCAGAGACGTAATAGGAAAGAATGGAGACTCCTCCGGCGGTGATACAAGGCCGGGAAGGTTTGTGCACCGGGATAGCCCCCGGCTGTCTCCGCCGCTGCTGCCACAACGGCTGGCGATGAGCTACCCGCCGCCTACGCTGGCCCAAGGAAGCGAAGAGAAAGCGATCGGGACACGAAAACGGTTAGCAGCCGACAGGTTCCAAGCACACCGGGCCGGCTCGGCCGAGCCCTGCAGCGGCAAGTTTGGGCGCTGGAGGTAACCGAATTAAAAGGCGCCTTAGCAACTCTGCACCGGGACTTTGCCCAGCTGGGCTCCCAGCTGGAGGGCGCCGAGGCCTGGCTGACGGGACTGTGGGAAGAGGGAAGGTGCTGCGGGGATCTGAGATCTGGGATCCAGGAGAAGAGGGGGTGGGGAACAGCTCTACCCAGCCAAACACGTCTATTTCCCTTGCCTCCATGTTGGAAAAATTCAGGCTCCATATGGCTCCACGGAGGGGTGGGAGGGAGACGGTGGCTCCAGGCTTTCCCCTAGGGTCTCGCTGGAGAAGGGAGGTGAGCCCCACCAAAAAAAAAAAAAAAAAATCATCTTGCCAGGCGTACCCCAGGGAAAGCCAAGAAGGGTAACAATAGCTTGGTGAAGCCTCAGGAGAAACAACAGGCCACCTTTCAGGATTTAAAAAATAATAATAATGGAAGTAAAGAAAATAAAATAAGAAAAGGCGAGAGAGAAAGGTTAGGCTCTTCTTAGCAACCGGGGGAAATTTCAGCCCTGGATCTGGCTGCTGGAAGAAAAGAGAGCAGAAAAAGAGAGAAGCAGGAAAGAAGAGGGAGAGGGAGAGAGAGAGAGAGAGAGGGAGGGAGGGAGAGAGAGAGGGAGAGAGGGGGAGAGAGGGAGAGAGAGAGAGAGAGAGTCAGTCGCTGCGTGGAAGGAAGCTTAAAGCTTGTGAACTCTTCTTGAACCGAGATTGGAGTCATATGGGCCATAAATCATTGAGACATACTCTCCGCCATTCACAAACTGATAGCCTATTTCAGTCCAGCTTACCTTAGCCACCGACGAGGGGAGAACAGGCAGACATAATATATATTCACATCGAGCCCCAGCGCGAGCGGCAGGCGAGAAATCTCCCCTCCTTGAAGGCAAAGGAAAAAAAGACCACTGTTTAAAGCTGCGTCGCCCCCCCTCCCCAAAGCCACCCGGCTGGGGAGCCCGAGGGGCAGACCGGCCAGAGGAGCCGCGCGGCGTCCGCTTCAATTCACTCGGCTTAGGAGCGGGGGTGCGCAGGAGGGAGGGGGTGGGGGAGCGGGGGAAAAAAATAGAAGACCGAAAGGTGCCCGGGCGGCTCGCCTCGCCGAGAATCCAGCTCCAGGCTCCGGCACGGCCAAGCCGCCACAGTGTGGTTGCCCTATAAGACTGGTACGCCCTACTCTCGGTAACAATGGCCTCTGCTTTTGCACAGGGAAAAAAAACCACACAGACACACACACACTCTCTCACTCACACACAAGCTCACACACACCCCCACCTCTCCCCCTTTAGCAAGCTTAGATGCCTGATAAGGAGAGAAGGTGATGGGGGAGGGGGGAATTTTAAATACCCCCCCCAAAAAAAGAGTGAGAAGGAAAGAAGGTAGAAGTGTTTTGTTCTTGTTTTTTTAAGAATAGGTAGATTTTTAAATTGAGAAGGGGAGAGGAAGAAGAGATGAAGGAGAGCTGGTGGAGTTCAAAGCTACCCCCCAAACCCCAAGAGTGAACCATTATGCTAATTTGAGAAGTGGCCTCTGGAGGCTTAGTGAAAGACTGGCCTGGCCTGAGGGTGCTGGGTGCCCCTCCATACTCATTCACAGTTGGAACACCAGGACTTTTTTTTTTTTTTAAGTAGTTTTACTTCTCCTGGACTGAGGCTAGGTCTCCTGCCCTCTCTCCCTCTGACTCCCTCCTTAGTCTCCCACTTTTCGCTTCTCCCTTCCACAACCTCTCTATTCCTTTCCCCTCAAATTTCTAGGCCCAGTCTCTAACAGGGGAGGGGGTAAAGCCAGACCTTCTTTTTAAAAATTACCCCTCCCCACTCCTTTTTTTTTTTTTAGAACAGACAATAAGCGGTGAGTGACAATTTTAAAAACCCAGAACATCTTGCAGGGGGTGTGGGTTTGAGGAGAGAGTGACAAAAGAAGGACCCTGAAGTTTAGTTTGAACTCCAGACAGTGCCGCTGGCAGTAGAGGGGCTGTAAGAACTTCACAGAGAAGTTTCTGTTAGTATTCTCACCTCCAGAGAGGCAGAAGAGCTAAGAGGTGATAAGGACATTTGTACTTCTGAGAATATGAAAACTAGCAGGGCTTCATTTTAAATGTGCATGCAGAAGAGATGGAAGATGGTTTTTGTTATTATTCTGAGCAAACCTGTTTGTTTCTCTCCTCTCTCAGCTGTGCAAGATTTACGACTCTTGGCACAAGTGAGGAAGGCTACAAAAGCTAAAGTTTTCTTAGGGCGTGTTTGAACAGGCCAGGAAAAGGCAAGGGGGGAGGCCTGTAGGAGGAAGACAGGAGCCAAAAATGTAGGTGTCTGCAGATTTGAGGCGGGGGTGGGGATGAACCATTCTCAGCCAAGGAAAAAGACTGAAAGCACTAGGACATTTCCCCAAGCAGGAGTGTTTGCAACTCTCTTTAACTGCTGACTCGGGGGTTCGGGGATAAAATAGAGGGCAGGCAGTCTCTTCTACAAAGGCAGCCTCGGAAGCGGGTTCTCTCAACTTCGTGTAGACAGAGCCTGCCACCCTCCTGTGATTTCCTGGTTAAATACTTTTCTTTTGCCTTCTCTCATCTGGATGCACCAGGACAGGCGATGAGACTGGGAAAAACAAAGGTGAGAGATGACTTCCAGCTATTGTCTCCCCTCCAGGAGAGGTAGCTATATCTGACTCTGCCAATGCTTCCCTCATACCCTCTTACTCCACACTCACAAGTTCTGCTTTATGGATGAGAAAGGGGTGGTCCCTAGACTCTGGTCCCCACTCTTTTTCAGGCCCTCCAAGTCAGGCCAGGTGGGATGGAGCAGCTAGTTTCCTAGGGCCCTGTGGAACAGCGAGAACCTGTGGGCCTCCCTACTCTCCAGCAACAGAGTCACTTTCAGAGCCCTCACTGTTTTGTCCTGAGGATCCTATAGCCTTCCTAGAGAGCTGGCGGCTTTCTAGAGCATTGGCAACTGGGAGTTAGGGTAAAATTGAGGGTGGGAGCCATTTTCTGTGTTCATATGGAGAAAATGCCCAAGCCTGATGAAGTACTGGGGTTCAAGCCAGGATGCCTCTAAGGAGACCTATTAGGGCTATCTGAGTATGTGGCTGCAAGAAACTGCTCTTAGATCTACAAATCTTGACTGGAAATCAGCACAGTTAGACAGCAAGTAACTTTGGGCCCTGGTGGGTCAGGGACTCAGGCCAAGGAGTAAGGGAACAAGTACTCTGGGATCTTTTCTCTTGCTCCCCCCCCCCAAAAAAAAGAATGTACTTCAGATCTTTCAGCTCTTCTAACAGGTATTACCACTGGCTAAAAAAAATCACTGTGGACTTGTGCTCCTGATTGTTCTCCAGACGGCACAGTTTTGCCTCAAGGAATAACAAGAGAGCCTGGAAGGCACCCAGCCAGCTGCGGCCAAGGAGAGGAGATGGGGCTTGGTGAAGAGCAAGCAGTAGGGCCTGGAGTTGCTCTGAGGGTGGAAACTGCAACAGTAGGAACCCTTCCCTTTCCAGCCTCCTCAACCCTTTGTGGTCCCTCTGGCAATGGGACATCCTAGGATGGGAGTGAAAAGGAGGACTGGGGAACAAGAAACAAACCCGGGGAAACTTTCAGAGGACAGACACCCCTAAATGCGGTAGGAGCTGGAGCAAGGGCTTCTAAATCAATTCTGCAGAATAGCACCCATTTGGAATGCTTGGGAGGCAATGAGATCCCAGTCTGGTTTCTTTCTTGCCTTTTTTCTTTCTTTCTCTGAGGTTTCCAACCAGCAGTTCAGTTGCCTCTGATTGGGGCTCGGAAGTTGGAGGGTGGATAGAGGAGGGAACACACAGCCCTCAGGGTACCCATTTCGTTGGAAGTGTGACTGCAGGTTAGGGACAAAGGTAGTAATGAGGAGCTTGGGGAGGGAAATTGGGGTAGGGAAACTCGAGATCTGAGGAAAGACAGTGGGGTCTGGGAAAAGAGGGGGAGGGAGGAGAGATTAGGGCAAAATAGAGAAAAGGAGAATTATTTCTTTTTGGATTCAGGGAGGGAAACTTGGTATCTGTGTGTGTGTGAGAGAGAGAGAAAGTGGGGGGGGGTAGAAAGAGAGAGATTGGAAAAGAGAATTTGAGAGAAAGAATAATATAAACTAATAAAGGCACAAAATAATTAATGTAAAGATTAGGAAATGTGTCCACCATCATAGACATGCTTTCCTCTCCACAGAGCTTAGAGCGCTGGCTCTGGCACTCATGGGCCACTCAGTACCCAGTATTGGGAGACAGGCAGCTCTATGAACCCCTGTGAGCAATTGCTGGCTGCCAATCCTTATGAACCTGGATGGGATCATGCCTTTTTCCCTTATCCGCCCCCCCCCCCACAAAAAAATCCATCAAAAAGCTAACGAAAATTTTCTCAATAAGGGGTGGGGGGCTGGCTTCTTTAAAACTAGTTTCTGGTTTTATCCTTGGAGCGGCCAATGATTCTGCCCCTAGCTCAACAGCAGAAAACTCCTCAGGTCCATCCCCCAGCCTCCCAGCTCTCTGAAGCTGGACCTTGGAAGGCATTTAGCGATTTGCTTCTTGCTGACCCTATCCTGGTTCCTGTCCCACATTCTCTTCCAACTTCACTGGCCAACGTTGTGGCTATTGTGGAGTGGTATAAAGTTAACATACTCACCTAGTGATTTCTCTCTCTTAAATCTGAATAAAGATTTCAACACTGGGGATTGTAAAGGTAGGGGGATAGTGTTTGTCTCCCCAATCAACAGCTCCCTAAAATGAGAGTGGGAAGGAAAAAAGGGGCATCCGAAGAAGATTTGGCACCTCCACCCAGGCCTCTGAGAGCTGCGCAGCAGTAGCGCACATCCAAGGCGGTAATGGGGGAAGGCCTCCACGGAGAAGAAAAAGTCAAGCTGTACCCCCCACCCTACCCCAAATATGGGTATGCTGCTCTCAGGCCAAGGCTGCAAGTTGGATCCAGGAAGAAACGGGATGGTGCAAAGGTCTGCCAGGTCTACTCAGTGACCACAGAGGACGCCTGAACATGTTAATGGGGGGGAAGGCACTGCCAGAGTGACATAGGAGCAGGCTGTCTCTTTGGTGGTGAAAGATCCCATTCTGAATCAGGGATCCCGCCTCATCTAGAAGCTCTGTCCAGGCCTGGCAAACCCCACCCCTCGGGAGTGAAGAAACAAAGCTGGGCGGGATTTTGAAGAGGGCAGAGGAGGAGAGACTGTGAATCTTGGACAGCTGAGAGTGGGGTGCTGGAGAGGGAGGGAGAAGCAAGCAAGAGAGGAGTAGGAGCCCCGTACCCTGGGAGTGGCTGCACACTCTCTCCTGACAGATTGGATGTCTCTCTCCCAGTGACCTCTGTTTAGCAGACAATAACTCACTGGATTAATGACCAATCAGTGGAAGACCTCCAAATATAAAACTCCAAAGTCAGGATGGGACAGAACCAGAGTCTGGGCCTGCCGGCCCTTTTGTTATTTTCTCAAAAAAGGGTTTAGGGTGAAGCTTTGGGAAAGTGGATAATGTGGCCAAAGATAAATTTCTAAACATGACATTGTTGCTCATCTCCTTCTCTTCCCACTTCCTCTCCCAGAATTTATGTCCCAAATCACACTTCCCAAGACAGCCTGAAATCCTCCTGTCCCATGCTGGCTTCCTTATATCCCTGATCCCATAAGAAATTTCCCTTCTTACAACCACGCAACTGAGAAAACAGTACTCTTTCAAATCTTGCCCCCCCCCCCGCCAAAGTTGGAGAATGAAATGGAAAATAAGAATAAGAATAAGGCTGAGGTTGTAGCTCAGTGGTAGAGTAACTGCCTAGTATGTGCAAAGCCCTGGGTTAAATTCTCAGCACAAATAATAATAATAATAATAATAATAATAATAAAAATAGAGTAGGGGTCTTTCACTTGCAGGCTTTCTGTCCTGGTTGCCCTGAAAGGACACCTAGAATAGTGCTATAGCATCCTACATATACACCCCCTCCTACAAAGAGAAAGTCCAGAGGTCCAGAAGTCAAGGGAAAAGCTGTGGAGAGTGCACCTGCTGTCACAGAATCTAAACTCCGAAACCACAGTTCAGGCCCTAGGCTCTGGTAAGATAGGAGATACTCTAGCCTTCACCTAGTACCTAGCAGGGAGAGGGCCCTATTTGGTGAGGCTGAGCCCCTTCTTCATTAGACCCTTTCCAAATGTCAATCTCAGCACAACCCAGCTAGCTAGACTCTTTCTCCACTCCTTTCTATCACCGTTGCTCTTAGCCTTGACTCCTGTTGAAAATGAAGATACCTTCAGGAGGAGGGGCAGTCTAGATTTCAGTGGACTAGAGTCAGTCTGAGTAACCACTCACTGCTCTGGGATATAAGACTCTGAATGATGGAAAAAACATGCAGTAACTTCTATACCCAGATGCTTCCAGAACTCCAAGACATACAAGGAGTTTGCTCCTGAGCACTGTCACACAAAGGATGGATACATAGAGGTATTCAAGATCAGAACTGGAAAGAACTCAGGGAGTATCCAGTCCAACTCTGCCATTGCTACAGATAGGGAAACTGAGGCCCAGAGTGGGGAAGAAATTTGTCTAAAGTCACACTTGGGATAGCTCCGAGTTGTAGGCATTCCAACTTAGCTGTGTGATAGAAGACAGAATACTCCTAGAGCTTCATTGACCCCTTCTGTAAAGCCAAGGTATGCATATGGAATGAAGGGGTTGGGTTAAATGATCTCTAAGGTCCCCTTTGAACAGAATGTTAGTGATTCTCTATGTGATGATGTAAAAATGAATGACAATGAGCAGTAACAAACTGAATTCAGATAATAACCAGCACCATCATGATCAAATTCAGGATATTTCTCTTGGGATTTAAATGCTTACATCCCTACTACTGAGTACAAATGCCACTCTTGGTCCTCTCACCCCTACAGCGGTTCGGTTCATGCAGTGGGTTTTTACTGCTCTTCTGAGTAGGGGATGGGTTGTTTTCTATTCTCATTACCAAATCAAAAGTGTTATTTCTGGACACAGCAACGTGAGCAGTAAATAATTAATTTGTATATTAGAGAAGGAAGCCTTCAACCTGGCAATTTTTAACCAGGCATCAATACATCCATTGTACCAGCCTGGCCTTCTCACCCGACCCCCACATCTGTCCACACACCTACCAGCCTCTCCAACCCCACCCCCACAAGTTGGAGACCAGCATTTCTAGGATGGTCACAGGGTCCACAGAGCCAGAGTCTGCTCCCATTCCCAACAAAGTTCCTTCCGTTCTCTGCTGTGCTTTATCAGAAATTTGTCTGTGGGCAGCTGCCCCTTGCAGCTTGCTTTCTCTACCCCACCCCCAAAGATGTGCTGGGCTACTGGTCCCAGTTCTTAGCTCTTGGGAAACTGTAATCCACCGTCCCCAGCTCAAGATGCCCCAACAATGCAGCGAGTTTGCATTTCAAGAAACCCCCATTAATATCAATTTACTTCACTGAAACCTCGGGTTCTTCATCAAGTTGATGATTTATGATAAAATCAATTAAATTACAGCCACTTAGGGCCCAGCCGCTTCCTCTCAGATTTCATTGGTGCGGGGCCCAAGTGTCTGGTGGAAAAATGCAAGTTTAGCTGGAGGCGAGGAAAGATA